CCCCCTTCCTCCTGCTAGCATTTGCTGCCTCCGTTTTTACCTGATGCTCATAGGAAGTTTAGAGAAATAGGAACGTGGAAAGATTCAGAGTAGAATCACAAGCAATATTATGCTTCAAATGGAACATTTTCCCCTAGAATTTCTCAGCAGCCAGAGAAACGCAGTGAGTATTTCGGGTACTCTATGCATATGATCATTTCACTCCTACAACCCAGTAAGAAAGAGGCAGCTCTGGAAGGTTCCAGGGAAGGTGCTGTTGGCTGAGTATGTAGAAAGCGGAGCGGGTGTGTGTTTTGGGGACAGAATCCTGACACCTTTGTGAAGCTGGCGTGTGGTTGTCTTAGCTGTGAGCACATGACGCGTAGCTGCCTTGTTCACTCAGGACTCCCCGTTCTAGGACACCACCTACACCCCAGCATATGACTCTATGGTGTGCCTCATTTTCTTCTGATTGAATTAATCACCGGCGTGCTTGAGGACTGGGCCTCTCAATGTTGCCATGTGGGGAGCGTTTGTTTCTTACTTAGACAATCCATGATTCTTCCCCCATTGCTTTTATGGTAAAGACTTTTATACCAAGCACTGTTCATTCTAGGAGTTTCTTTTGTAAAAAGTCAATGGTATAAAGATGCCAAAAAAAAAGATTCCAGGGAGAGATATGGTATTATGAGCTCTGAGAATGCCATCCCATAGGGACAAGTTGTAATGACTTACATTGGTCTAATTTGAATCCTTTTCAAACTTACCCACATGGCAAAATATTCTTTTTAAGAAGAAACAAGCATCAGCCTAAGCCTGCGCCAGTGTGCTGAGGCGCCATCCGATATTTCTCTGTAAATTAAAGTATTTATAACTTCTCTTAGCTCACCGCCCCATGTTACAAGAAATGAAATTCTGCTTGGGTTTCTCAACATTGCGGTGTCTGGTTTTCAGTTTAGAATGGCTGTTGGGCTTTGCGGGGATAAGAACTGAAGAGCTTATACTGATGCAAGCTTCTAGTTCGTGCTCAGGCTCTGGGCCGTTGGAAGCCAGTCAGACATGTTTTTCTGCTGTGTGTTTTGTTAGGAGGAAGTCTCTCTTTTAGGGATCTGCTCTGATGGGCATTATTATTTTTATTTACATGTGGAATGAGAACCTACTAAGAGGCAGGCCCAGCAAGATGCATATGGTGTTGGTAAAAATGTAGACCTGGGCTAGATTCATTTTAAAATTGAATTGAAGTCTTGCTTTATGGGCCGGCCCGGAATATGCTTGATTGAATCGCTCATTTTCTAAAAGTGTCTGCTCTCGTTTCAGTGGTGATGGAAATCGGGGCACCGAGCAGGATCAGAGAATAGTGTATTCTGTTGTGTTCTGTGCACTTGGAAGAGACAAACGAGAACTGGCAAGAAGGGACACAAGCCTTTCTTTTCAGGGCTGCCTCTGCTCCGGAATCAGATCAGACAAAGTGATATCGCCTTCTCCTCACCCCTCTTGTTGAGGAAAGGAAAGGAAGAGGGATAACAGATGATTTTATGCAAATAGACCCATTGAATAAAGAACGCACTAGCTGCCTGCGTTCAGGGATTGAGTTTCTTTAGCTACTAAATGGGGATAATAATTCGGTCTCATTGGGTTGTCACAAGGCTGATGGACTGAGTTTAGAGCTGTGCCTGGTACATACAGCTAGATGCGTGGTGACTGCCGCAGTACTCCTATGGCTGGCGATCCCCGTCATGGCTAACGATCGTATCTAGACCACGTTTTGGAGGCGATGGCTGTTTCCCCCAGAAGCAGTGCACATCCGTCTCCGTCCGTGTCTCTGGTATATCAGATGCTCCCCTGTTTCTGTTGCTTACTGGTCCTGTAATTTGGGAAAACACACTTAGACTCTATGAACATTGGTGGAGATGATGATAGCTCCTGCCTTACACGGTTGTTGGATTCAGCTTGTCTAAGCATGATGGCAGCTGGGTTGGCAGTGGTGGTCACCATGTTATTCCACCCACATGGAGCCACGCTGCCATTTCTGCTCACTCCACAGCTCTCACTGTGATGTGGTCCGGAGAGGTTTTCTGAGCACCTACTTGGCACCACACACACTGCCTTGCGCCTGTCACGCCAGTCTCTGATCTCCACCTGTGTGTTTACACATGCCTGCGATTTTGTAAAGTGGAGTGAAGTGAAAATAGGATGAGAAACTTTCTCTACCCATTAGGCATTAAGGGACCATATAGATAATTAATTTTCCTATAAGGGCCACACAACCTTCTGAATTTAAGACAACTGGCTTCCTTTGGTTTGTTATCATGACCAAGTATTCTCCAAAATAACCCCAAATTTAACCTGGTGATATGCTTCCTTTTTCCTGGAAGGATGTCTGAAGGTTCAGGTCAGGACCCAAAGGAGAAAAGCAGATGAGATAAGATGACTGTCCCCACAGCAGCTGTGGTGAAGTTGGTGCCCACTGCCCATCTACCCAGTGGAACGTAGAGTACGAACAGTGCTCTGTGGTGTCTACTGATTTGCCTGATTAGAGAGATCAAAAATTAGGGTTCTTAGAGACACTTTGCGCCTCTCCTTAACCCCTCTCTGAAGGAAAGGGATCCAAGACATGGCACAAAGTGGCTGCTCACCACTGACCGCTAAACGGCCATCTGGTAATCCAATCGGACTTTTTGTTCCCAGGAATTCATCTCAGAAAACATAGCATGACTTTTAGGATATATCCAGATCCTTGTCATAATAGGCTCAATGCCTTTTCCTTCTCCCTCCATCTTATTTATTTTAAAAATAGATGCTATTGAAGCTTTGGAGTCCCTGGCCAAGGAGGAGAAGGCATGAGATTCTATTCCTGGTGCTGCCGCCACTGTGTAGCTGCCTGGCAGTGCACTTGACCTTTCTTCTCTTCCTTCCCCCTAAGGAATATGCCTGCTGCGTCTAGACCCCATGGGGCGCTGGGAGGTTGCAGGAGTGAATACAACTATCTCCGGCTATAATATGGTGCTGCCAAGTACGCTGAGGCTTGGAGATGAAAGATGCTGTGTGCAAAAGCATTGTTATTACATTTAAAAAAAATATGGATCAAAGGCTGCCTATACAGTAAATGCTAAATGTTAATTATTGTTATAATATCATAACAAAGCAGATGCCAGTATGCTAGCTCTCATGAGAAACCCTATTATAGTAAGCCAGTGTGAAGTGTACGTATTACAAAGATATTTGGCAAGGAGGCAGATTTGGTTTTGAAATCTCAATGAACAATTAAGTGGAATAAAAAATAACTTTAATGCTATGAAAAATATAAGTGTCTTGACAACTCTTTAACATAAAAACAAGAAGCTTCCTTTTCCCCATAGAAAAGAGGCAACATTGTTGCTTTTATTTCCCCTGAGCAGAATACATATTTTCTTGGATATAAGGGACAAAACCAGCAATATTCCTTCTTACAATGACCTCTAAAATAGCTCTCTTTATGACAGAGGCATATTTGGGAGAAAATTGCCTGAATTTGTTCTAGAGCAGTGAGTAAATCTATTTTCTTAAATGTTAAATGAATTCAGGTTTTGCTGCCCATTTCTCTGTCCTCCCCCAAACACATATTCTAGTTGATGACATTAGACAATGGACTTCTTTCTGAAAGCATTCATAAATGCCTTGCACATATTTTCAGGTCTGGAAAGCATAGTCCATTGTGTAATATCAGCTGGGAAGAAGAGAGAGAGGGAGAGAAGGCATAGGAGGAAGGATTTAGAAGAAAGTAATTTCTGTGTCCTTGTGCCTTTTCAGAACACAGTTTGGGTAAAGTCATCTGGCATACAAAATTCTTTTTCCCAGAATATTGTCAGAAATAAGTAGGCAACTTTCAGGGGAAGGTAAGAGCCTGTATTTGCACAGGGATAGGTTTTACTCTAGGGGAGGAGAGGGAGAAAGGAGGAAGGCTGCACATCTCTGAGCAAATTTTCAGTAAACTGTACACCCTCTGCAGATGGAATTGTGGCCAGATTATGATTATAATTGCCTTGGCTGTAGCTCCATGTTTGTCTGCCCTGATGTGTACCCGCCACCTGCCTGCTGCTAACTCCTTCCACACTAGCTATAGTTTTTCCCTTTCAACTCATCTCCCCCA